ACCGCCTCCTATCGCCTCCTTTCAAGCCACGTTCGCCTTGAAATATTTAGTTTCAGGAAAAGGAGCCTAAAGGTAACTTCCTGGAGAGTGTAAATCTGATCTTTAAATTTTTTTCAAGTATGGAATGTTAGGGAGGACAGGAAGGGTGTTCAAAGGGAATCAAAAAGGAAAAGAAAGACGGAAAAAAGAAAAAAAAAAACCAAAAAGCAGGTCTGGGATGGAGTTTCCAGAGCCTGGAGCTGCTGAGTCCTCAAAAACACATCAGAGCTTAGGTGGTCTGCAGAGCCCTCCTCTCCCTTCCAGGTGGGAATGGCAATTCCCGCGGAATAGTCTCTGGAGGAAGCCCCAGGCTCAAGCGGTGTTTACGGCGGGGAGGTCCTGCCTCTAGCCCTGCCTCCCCTCCTCACTCCCCTCCCCACGGACATGAATAGCTCCTCAGTTATTTTTATGACCCTTCTGACCACCGGTCCCCCCCGACCCTCCCCGACCTGCACCCGCTGCCGGCCTGGGGAAGGGCGAGTGGAGGAGACCCGGAGCCAGGACAGGCAGGGATTACTCCCCGCACCCCTCAGCTCGGGGAATTAGCGCTCGGGGTGTTGGCTCGTGCTCCCTGAGTTTGCACTTTAATCCTCCCTCCACTTTGCCTTCCCTGCATTGCCAGACAGTTCCTTTGCTGGACGGGCTCCGGGAAACCCGGGCTGCAATCACGAAATCCCACAAATGCCTTTTTTAAGGAGAAAGCAGCAGATAACGGGGACGGGATCAAGCAGACAGGAGGGGCTTCAGGAGGCTCCGGCAGCAGCAGCCCTGGCCCCGGGCTGGGGGAATGCTCCGGGCTGAGGGGATGCTCCAGGCTGAGGGGATGCTTCGGGCTGGGGTATGCTCCAGGCTGAGGGATGCTCCAGGCTCCCTCTCCTAACAGCATCTTTATTCTGCTTCGGTGGGATGGGAGCTGGCGGTGGCAGCAGTTCTAATTCCAGCTGCTGCCCTGTCCCGGTGCCCTTCTGGGACTCTGCATCCCTGACACCTCACTCTTCAAAACCTCCCTTTCCCTGTCTCTGTCAAAAAAACGTTGGAAATAGAGTGGAAAATCAGCACCCACCCTTCCCAGCCCCGGGCATCCATATGGATTTTCCCATCCTCGGCACCGCTTCACCCCACCAGCCCGATCCCAGCTCCCTCCTCCTGTCTGCAGAGGGGTCGTGGCTGGATGGGAGCCACTACGTGGATTTAGGTATTATTTTGGGATGGAGCATCCTGGCAAAATACGTTAAGTGGTTCAAGGGAGAGAGGAGAGCTGGAACGGCCTGAAGCTGCGAAATCAGAAAGTACGGCAATTCTAAAGCGATCCAGGGAAAGCCAAGCAACCACAGAAAATGCAGCCAGCAACCCCAAAATATGAGGGCACCGAGGTGAGCCAGAGCGACCTACTGCCGAGGGGAATCTGGTGAGAGGAGCGCCAGGGGCAGACAGGCTGGTCCTGCACCTGTCTGGCTGCTGGGTGCCAGAGCTGGGGCTGGTCAGGGACTCACCTGTCGCTCTCCCGCTCCTCCCTCCCGAGCTGTCACCCTGCCGGGACAGCATCCCCCGAGATCTCCGTGCCTGAAGGAAATGCTGCTCCTCACCGGCAGCAGCGCCCTGCCCGGGCAATGGTTCAACTCCCAGGAGCAGCTCAGTCCTACAGCAACGGGACTCGGCACTCCCCCGGGACCCTGCATTGGCTGAGGTTTTCCTGGTGTTTTGTGGACATCCAAGCAGGGATGGGGAAGGGGGAGAATGAAAGGCATGGCAAGGCAAGGCAAGACATGGCAAGGCATGGCAAGGCATGGCAAGGCATGGCAAGGCATGGCATGGAAGACATGGCAAGGCATGGTAAGGCATGGCAAGACATGGCAAGGCATGGCAAGGCACGGCAAAGCAAGGTAGAACAACTGCTTTTTTCATTAGAATTGTTTTCAGTTAGAAAATAAGCAAAATAATAAATTGGATTTGTTACATGCAACCATAATAAAAGTTATAGATGTCACCTCGACATCAAGATAAATGAGAGATTTGGGATGATGAGAATTGAGCACTCCAACGCTAACTGACACAGCCAAGAAATGCTTGGAAAATAAATATGCAAAGCAGGTAACATCAGATCTGACAGGCTTAGGGGGTGAAGGGCTGGAAGGGGCAGCCCCGGCAGCGGGGGCAGGACGGGGTTCAGCAACACATCAGTGACACTGGGGGACACTTAAATCAACCCAGGACCCCCCTACCACCGTGCTGGCATCACCGGGAGTGAAACGAGCAGCGGCTCCCCAGCACACTGCCACAGTGACGCTTTAATGGGGCTTTTTTCTCCTCTTCCCCTTTACTTCAGCCTCTGCACCACACGCGTGGGGAGAGGATTTCCCCACATATCCCGGTACCCCCAGCAGACAGGTCCATCAGCAGCCGAACTCACAAAGCTATTTCATTTGTGGGCTAATGGAGGCGAAACGAGGGCACGGCTGAGTCCCGTGGAAACCGGCTGGAGCAGAGAGCTGAGGCAGCCCCGTGAGACATCCCCCACCCAGCTCCGCTCCCCCCCAGAGCCAGCAAAGGGCACAGGGGGGTCCTGCACAGCCCCACAGACCCGTGCACACCCCATGTCGTAGAGTTTTCCAGCCAAACCCTCCTTGATTGCCTCTGCTGTGATGCAGAGGGATGAACCATCATCAAAAACCACATCAATGGGCCCCAGGGCAAAGGGGGAGAAGCCACAGTCCCACTGGCAGCTCTGGGGGTGGGTGGCAGCGGGACTCCCCCAGATGGGGCCAGCACGAGCTCAGGGCTGGTGCGTGTGAATGTCA